AGAAACAGTAAAAAGAATTCATTGAACGTTTAACAAATTTATTCGTTCATATATTTTGATTGACATAGACGATTGGGACATATGGTTGAATTATTTCACATATTGTTTTAACACTGCACCATCGACAGTACATATAATTTATTTTTTATTTATTTATTTATTAATGGTCGACAAAACGAGTATCTTCCTTATTATTCAATAGATTATACATGCATAGTGGAAATCAAATGCTAAAAGCCTAGTTAGTTAAAGACGCCCTAGAAAAAAAGGAGAATCTATGTCGCCAATAATCAACTTTTGTAGAAGGACGGTCCAACACACTGCCTTGTGGGTCGCTCGCTATTATGCGTTTGGAGTGAGAGGCATCGCCATTCTGAACCGCTTGCAATTTACTCTCAGTCAGGAAGCTCGCAATGATGTTAAAGAGCTGTGTAATAATCAATGTCGCTGCTAGGAGTTCGACCACATTAGAAAATAATTGCCTTCAAAGGGCCAAACGCGGTAAGTGTAGCCATCCCCACCGGATTAACTACGAGCAATGCCAGGCCAAAACGGTGGCAGACCTGCTATGCTTAAACTGTGAGGAGAACCATGCTTATAATACAGGATTCAAAGCATACCAGCAGCGCTGGCAACCGGCCATCTAAGTTGCCTCCTGGCTCGACACAACCAACAGCAGCCTGCACGGTGCATCAACTCACAGTTCGTACCCTCACGAATTGTGCAACAAGGCCTGTCGTATGCTGATGGGTTGCGGCCAGGACGCAACCCTTACCAGCAACATGCCCAAGCGTGCCAAGCCCCCGTGTGCATCAAGCAGCTCACCGCTACAAAAATACGGCCCTCCAGCATGGATCTCAGGGCTAAGAAACGTCCCTTGAAAGTATTCTCCAAGGACTCCAGCAGTCGATTGCAGCACGTAGTGCCGCAGTCGCAACTATCCTGGTCATCATCAAGAAACTGAAGGACACGCAAACAATGAACTGGAACGCTCGCAGCATCATACAAAACGCATACGAGCTCAACCGGTTAGTGAGAAAACATGCCGATCTGTACTTCGCCATGGTGCGGTATGGTTACTACCGTGTGGATCACCCAGCAGGTTTATCCGAAAGAGGTGCTGCGGTGCTTGTCAAGCAGAGCTTTGTGCACTACCAACAGCATCAGGTGAACTCCAGCGCCACACAATGGGCTACCACCAAAGCTATCCTGGAGCTGAGCCGATTCAATTCTTTCCTTGATCAGCTTGGTCATAAATTCATCATTGGAGGTGACTTCAATGCCAAACACAGGCTGTGGGGACGCTACAGAGCATACAGAATCAACTGGTATCCATTCGACTGGGAGGGTGCATCCTGACAAGGATCCTGGATACTCCGGAGATGAAACGCTTAATCCCAAAGTTACAGTGTGGGCTTCGACTCAAACACGGTACCCCTGAGCAACTCCATCGGGTCGTAAACTTTATCTTGGTCGGCTTTCAAAGGAAGAAGTATGAGGTGGCAGCATGCCTCGATAATCAAGAAGGCTTCGATCGGGTGTGGTACGCAGATGTCTTCTCAGCGTTAAAGGGCAAAATGAACCCACAGCATTTTAACATCATTGCGAGCTTCCTGATTGAGAGTAAATTGCAAGCGGTTCAGAATGGCGATGCCTCTCACTCCAAACGCATAATAGCGACCCACAAGGCAGTGTGTTGGACCGTCCTTCTACAAAAGTTGGTTATTGGCGACATAGATTCTCCTTTTTTTCTAGGGCGTCTTTAATTCTCTGTTTCGGCTAGGCCACCCAGAAATTATCGCCCCTTATTCCTATCTACGTGCACAACAGACTACGCTATGCACAATCCTGTTCGCGTGCAATGTTAAAATTATAATAGTTTGCATCACGTTTTCTCTACCGAACTTTCTCTACCCCTAATAAAATCGTTGCTTTTAGGATACCTTCGGGAAGTCGCTGACCATTCCCAGCTATGAGCAGGGGCATAGCTTGCCGGACAGGCTGAAAATTTTCCCCCACCGGGTCGATGATTCTCATTACTTTTCTGTTTGTCCTATTCACTTAACACTCTTTATATCTAACTTACATTTCTTTACTTTATTAACAATCTTCTTACTTTCTTTTTTCCTATTAATTGTATTTTCTTAATTTATTATATATATAATAAAATCGTTGCTTTCAGGATACCTTCGGGAAGTCGCTGACCATTCCCAGCTATGAGCAGGGGCATAGCTAGCCGGACAGGCTGAAAAATTTTCCCCCACCGTGTCGGTGATTTCCCAATACTTTTCTCTTTGTCCTATCCACTTAACACTCTTTATCTAACTTACATTGCTTTACTTTATTAACAATTTTCTTACTTTCTTTTTTCCTATTTATTGTATTTTCTTTATTAATTTAGCAAATTAAGATTATTTTTAATTTCACTTGAGATCACTTTTTTCCTACTTACAACCTTCTGCTTAGATGTAGGCTCTAATAGCGTCACTGACAAAATTAGCTGTGAAAAGAGGCACAGCGGGGCGGACTAGCAAATAAAACAGCTCCATCGGTCGGTGATGCTATTTAGAAAATTGTGTTCTCTAACTAGGCTTTTAGCATTTGATTTCCATTATGCATGTATAATCTATTGAATAATAAGGAAGATACTCGTTTTGTCGACCATTAATAAATAAATAAATAAAAAATAAATTATATGTACTGTCGATGGTGCAGTGTTAAAACAATATGTGAAATAATTCAACCATATGTCCCAATCGTCTATGTCAATCAAAATATATGAACGAATAAATTTGTTAAACGTTCAATGAATTCTTTTTACTGTTTCTAATGTTTAGTGATGATGTGCTGTTGATTGTATATTAATTATTTTCATATACTTGCACAGGTCATTTATTAGCGAATTTTTGTATTCAGTTCCAATGGCCGTTATGAACGTTTTCATAGGACCGACCTTAATCACAAAAGATTCAAATATTTCTGTTTTTGCACTTATCTCTTTAACTGATATTGTAACAAGTTATTTAGTGAGATCGCAAATTGTAGTAACTGGGTACTCCATGCCATTCTCTGTACAAGGTAATGGACCGATTGTGTCGATCAATGCAGTATTTGGGATACTCGTTAACATAAATGGGTCTTTAGTATGTAATGTGATTGTTGCTAATTGGCACTTAACACAAGTTTTCACATATTTTTTAATTGTCTTAGTCATTGTTTTGTTTTCTTTTTAACGCGAATCCCATTGCAACGTACTGCATCCCACATCTCGCCCAACCGACCGAGCGGCGCAGTCGTGTAACGTACGACACGAAAAGCAAAGTAAATATAAACCAGAAAGAAAGGCTATCTTTGAAGATCTAGTACCCTTGGAGACCCAACCTTTATTTAAGAAGTCCAGGGAAAATAGTTGATGTCGAGTTTGGGCAAGATATCTTTATAAGCAAAAAAGGTTTTTAATAAAAAACCTAGTTTTCGACCGATCGTTCCTATGGCATATATTTGATATAGTAGTCCGATGTAAATAAGATTTTGCAAAACTGAAGGGAGCATAGTGAAATATTTAAATGCCATGTTTAATCAAAATATCTCGAATGACAAAAACGTTTTCCATACAACAACTTATGGCAGCTATATGGTATAGTGGTCCGATATTAATAGGAGTCTGCATAAATATGGGGAGTATAGTAAAGCTTATACATAGATGTCGAGTTTGGTCAAGATATCTTAAAAACAAGCTGATTTTCCATACAACAACTTAATTTTCGACCGATCGTTTCTATGGCAGCTATATGATATAGTGGTCCGATCTTAATATGATTTTGCCTATATATGAGGAGTATAGTAAAACTAATAAATGCCGAGTTTGGCCAGATATCTTGATAAACAAAATGGCTTTTCATACAAATACTTAATTTTCAACCGATCGTTCCTATGGTAGCTATATGATATAGTAGTCCGATCCAGCTGGTTTTGACATATGTGCTGCGGGCAACAGAAAGAAGGACTTCTGCAAAGTTTCATTAAGATAGCTTTAAGACTGAGAAACTAGTTCGCATAGAAACAGACATACGGACAGACGGACATGGCTATATCGACTCGGCTGTTGATGCTGATCAAGAATATATATACTTTATGGGGTCGGAGATGTTTCCTTTTAGGCATCTGCCAAAAGCTAAAATCGAAGTGTTTAACTTACTGGAACGATGTCCTATTCTCCGACGATCGCCAGGTTAATACTTTTCGCTCAGAAGACGAAATTAAAGTATTGAGAAAACCCAATACGGCAATAAAATGAGATGATATTAAATTTATATATATATATATATATATATATATATATATATATATATATATATATATATATATATATATAGTGACATATCCATAGTCGCACCCACCCTTTAACATAACTTAGCACATAAGCATAAGCACAATTATAAACATTTCTAATATTGTAAACAAAGAGCCTGGTGATAACATCGACATTTGTCAAGATCAAACTGTCCCCCTTTGGTAGACATAATCAATTCACCCTAAATATCACGCCACTGTCAATGTTCCCATCAGAGCACTATCCCACGCATAATTGCTGACGCAGCTCAAACTTCACTCAATTTTGACTTAAACTTTCTCAAAGCGAAGTTTGCTAAGCGACCGCAACAGTTAGATATATTAGTTCATATTCGGGAAGCAAATCTGAATGTACTCAACAAAAGTAGCCGTTAAGTGAAAATAATAAATTGAGATATATTTTTTTATAGTAACCTAACGTGTAAAACTTAATTATATATATATATATATATATATTTATATATATTACATTAATCAATTCACTCGAATAAATTTAGCCTACTGTTGCGGGACGAATTAATTTATCGATTGTTTAGTATTAAGTATATTCTGAAAGTATGTATATTTGCCCTCCGAATGTACGGGCACACTGTATTTGGCTTGTTGCCGCCATTACTTAAATGTTAAGCTCATTATTGTCGTGAGTTCGAAGGCCGTAGGAGGAAAGACTGCGGTAAGATTCCGAGGGAATATATATCTAAGTTCTAACCTATGTAATCCGTTTAGATTAAAACACTTGCACTAGCACGTTTTGCATTACGCTGTCTCTAGTAACATCGGAGTAACATGGCCGGGGGCCAGGCGTAAACTTGCAGTGTTCAAATTGCAACTCCACCTTCATTTGGCACGCGACATGATCTTTTATTCGCAGTTCTTATTGTAAGAAACTGCAAGGGCGACTTGCGCTGAAGACAAGACGTGGTGTAACATTGGTGTTACAGTGTGTGTACATAGACACAGCACAGGCAGGGCCTCCACCCAGTTATAGAGTCACCATTAGTACGCAGCCAGCGTAAAATATAGCAGAAACCATCTCCGAGCTGAGTAGGATGACACAACGGTCACCTAGGAAAAGCCCACGCTTAAACGATGGCCAGGAGATAGCTACCACGGCGAGTGGGACGCAGACAAAGCGGACAAGTAGAATGGTGAGCACTGTATCACAAATGCAAGTTCCCGCTGTTAGCGCGCCACAAAGCCCCAGCACCGTGGATGTGGGCACAAGTGTACAACCTGCCGGCACTGTGGCCGCGGGAGTGAGTGCACAGCCAGCACATTGACAGGAGCGCCAAGCCCAAGCACGCAACTCTCAAGTACGCAAGTGCTAGAGCACGAGTTGCAGAGGTCAAAAACTGGTCAAGCACATGTGAGTACAGTTACTGATCCCGTTAAGTTGAGTAGTGCTGGCATGAGTGGTACAGCTAACCTGCCGCCATCTTTGATCGGAGCGGAGAGCGGAGAGCCATCGTCGAGTGGAAGTTTGAGTGAAACTGCAACTATGAGTGTAGTCCCAAATTCAAAAGTAAGTTTGAGTGAAACTGCAATTTTGAGTGGAACTACCATTTTGAGCAGATCGCCATCTTTGAGTGAGGCACTGCCTACGTCATTGAGTGGAAATTTGGGAACACAGTTGCAAACGGTAGAACGGGCTACAGTTATGGATAACTGCTCTACAACGTCAAGCCGCTCGACGCCATATTGCTTTGCAGGCATTGCACAGCCAACGCTCAGCTACACTCCGGCACAGGAGAACCAACAAACGATAATTTTGGAGCCAACGCAGGCAACTGGGAACTTCGCATGGACGACTCCCAGGAACGATGTATGCCTGCCACGCAAATTACCAGATCTACCCGAGTTTGGAGGTCAATCTGAGGATTGGCCTATATTCTTCTGCGCGTTTACGGAAACAACTTTGGCGTACAACTGTACAAATCTGGAGAATAACCAGCGATTGTTGAAGGCACTCAAAGGCGAAGCACGTGACACTGTGAAGTCGTTGCTCATACATCCCAGGAATGTGAACAACGTAATTGAACAATTACGTTTTAGATACGGCCGCCCAGAACAGCTAATACGCAGCCAGCTAATTAGTATTCGAGAGGTGCAGCCAATTCAGGAGCACAGCATAGCTAAAATCGTGCCATATGCTACACGCGTAAGTAACTTTGCCGCTTTTCTACAATCGGCTAACGGGGAACAGCATTTAGCGAATCCTACACTGATGGAGGATTTGGTCGCTAAATTACCACCAAGCAAGAGGGTGGAATGGGCCAGACATGCAGCTACGATTAGGCCTTTCCCGACGGTCGTACATTTTAGCGCGTGGTTAACGGACTACGCCAATGTGGTATGTACGATTGTGGACGTCGATAGTAAGGAGCAAAGACGTAGAGTGCTGCATGCCAGCATTGACCAGAATAATGAAGGGCGTCACCGAGGTCGCACCAAACAGTGTCCAATCTGTAATGGACAACACGCAGTCAGGGACTGCAACGAGTTTAACTTAGCCTCTCCGCTAAAGAGGTGGACAGTCGTAAAGAGGCACCGGCTTTGTTTTTCGTGTTTACGAGTTGGCCACATGGCAAGAGTCTGCAATAGGGCCAACGAATGCCAAGTTAATGGATGCCGGAAGAGACATCATCGACTCTTACATTATCATGATGCTATGAGTCACAATGCACCGCAACCAGCAGGTGATAAAGTGATGAATACTGGACGGATGCCGCAGCCAGCGGATCCTCACACAAGGGCACCGCAGCCAGCGGATGCTCAATCGACGCAACAAAGGAACTTAAGTTGTGTCGATTCGGATGGAGAACGCCTACTATTCCGCATATTGCCAGTGACATTGCACGGGGCCAATAAGCGGATCGATACGTACGCGCTCCTCGACGAGGGCTCGTCTGTAACGATGATCGACGACGAACTACTGCGCGATCTAGATATCAAAGGGGAACGCAGGCAACTAAATATACAGTGGTTTGGTGGAAGAGCAACCAGAGAGCCGACCACAGTGGTAAGCATGGAAGTTAGTGGAGCGGACAAGCGCAAACGGCATGTGTTGCGAAATGTGTACGCCGTGTCCAACCTCAGCTTACCAATGCAAGGCCTGCATCAACGTGACGTCCAAATGTGGGGCAACGGTGCACGTCTTCCAATGAAACCGTATCGCGGGGCGGTACCAAAACTTCTGATTGGACTTGACCATGCGCATCTTGGACTGCCAATGCAAACAAAAAGGTTTGCACCACAGGGACCATATGCCGCAGCCACCGAACTTGGATGGGTGGTTTTTGGGCCGGCAAGAGATCAACCGACGGCAACGTCATCAAAGTCATGCCTCCTAGCAGTGTCGCAGGAGGATGCAATCCAAAAGATGGTAAGCGACTATTTTGATATGGAAAACTTCGGGGTGAAGCTTACGCCACCAGTCGCAGCCAGCGACGGTGCACGAGCACAGAGGATACTCGAAGACACCACGGTGAAAATAGGAGAACGTTACCAGACGGGTTTATTATGGAACCGTGATAATGTTGAATTGCCACGAAGCTATGATATGGCATACAAAAGATTGGTCAACATTGAGAGAAAGATGAAGCGTAACGATCAGTTTAAACAAGCCTATATGAAAATTATGGACGATTATGTTCACAAAGGATATGCTCGACGATTGAAGCAGCATGAGGTCGCTTTAGCCAACAGCGACAAACTTTGGTATCTTCCGCACTTTGGAGTTGAAAATCCAAATAAGCCCGGTAAGATAAGACTGGTGTTCGACGCGGCAGCAAAGGTTGGTGATATTTCATTGAATTCGGCATTATCCAAGGGGCCGCAGCACTATAAGTCGCTGCCGGCTGTTCTCTTCCATTTTCGGGAAGGTGCCGTTGGCGTTTGTGGAGACATCCGAGAGATGTTCCATCAAGTGTTGATTCGACCGCAGGACAGATGCGCCCAGCGATTCCTGTGGCGAAACGGCGATGATCGCCGGGAGCCTGATGTTTATGAGATGAGGGTAATGACGTTTGGAGCAGCATGTTCGCCAAGCGCCGCACACTATGTGAAGACCTTGAATGCCCTGCAGTTTCAGGATTCAGACCCTCGCGCGGTTAAAGCTATTCTTGAATGCCACTATGTGGACGACTATGTGGATAGCTTTGATAGTGAAGGCGAAGCCGTCACCATATCGACAAGAATAAGAGAAATACATGCAAATGCTGGATTCGAATTGTGCCAGTTTACTTCCAGCTCGCCAACTGTAGCTGACGCGCTGGGCCAACATGGGACTGCGAGGAGCATCGGATGGGGCGAAGCTGAAGAAAAGATTCTAGGCATGTGTTGGCAACCAGCCACGGACGATTTCAAATTCAACATGAAGTACCACAAAGTACCCCGATGTGTGCTAAATTTGGAGCGAATTCCTACGAAGAGGGAATTCTTGAGCTTGATCATGTCAACATTCGATCCTCTGGGATTTCTTAGCTGCCTCATGATAACTGGAAAGCCATTACTTCGGCCCAACACCTGTGCGGGCAATACAGCTGCACGTTTTTGTCGATACTAGCCAGTCAGCATTCGCAGCCGTGACTTACTTGAGGGTCACCTACGACAACAACGACGTGCGAGTATGCTTCGTATGTGCCAGGACGAAGTGTGCCCCAATGAAGACGATGTCAATTCCACGACTGGAATTGCAAGCAGCCGTGTTAGGAACGAGGCTGATGGACACTGTCAAAAAGGAGCACAGTATAGCGATCAGCGACGCTATACTATGGACTGACTCCAAAACTGTGCTGCGTTGGATAGGCAGCACCCACCGTCGATATAAGCAGTTCGTCGGAAATCGAGTGGGAAAAATTTTGGAGTCAACAAAGGTTTCCCAATGGAGATGGGTACCTACTGCTGAAAATGCAGCAGACGACGCAACGAGGCCGCATTGCCACGTAGACCTCAGCCAACGGTCACGATGGTTAGACGGGCCAACATTTTTGCGGCAGCCAGAAAGCAGCTGGCCGCAGTCCGAACCGGGCACGGAACACTCATCCTACGAAGATGAAGAAGAGATGCCGAGTGAATTTGCCTTAGTTGCAGCAAATAGCTTTTTCATTTCATTTCAGAGATTCTCTAGCTACAGTCGGCTGGTGAGGACGACGGCTTGGGTTTTAAGGTTTACGCGCTGGAGCCGTGGACAGAGGACTGAGCTTGAGAGATTCGGCCTCACCGCGACGGAGTGTGAGAACGCTGAGAACTTACTGATACGGCGAGCGCAATGCGAAGCGTTCCCTGACGAGGTTCGAGCCTCATACAATGAAGAATCAGTCGGTCATCGAAGCGACATAAGAGGGCTGGCGCCATACTTGGATGACAATGGAGTCTTGCGTGCGTATGGCAGGATCGATGCCGCACTGTGTATACCGCATAGTGCGAGAAGGCCAATAATATTGTCACACCGGCACGCACTGACGGAACTGATTGTGTATCACTACCATGTGAAAATTAAGCATCAAAACGTGGATGCAACGATAGGTGACATCAGGACCAGATTTTGGATAACAAAGCTGCGTCGACTGTTGCGTACAGTAATATCTGGATGTAGTGTGTGCAAACTACATAGAGCGCAGCCAGCGCCACCTATAATGGGTCCTTTGCCAGAGGACAGACTGGAGGCCAATGGATGGCCATTTAAGTTTACGGGTCTGGACTATTTTGGACCACTCCTTGTGACGATCGGACGTCGAAAGGAAAAGAGATGGGTCGCCTTGTTTACGTGTCTGACGACAAGGGCCATATATTTGGAGCTGGCACATGACCTGTCAACTGATTCCTGTATAATCGTAATCAGGAACTTTCTTTGCCGTCGCGGACCTGTACTGAGGTTGCGCAGTGACAACGGAAAGAACTTTGTTGGGGCCAACAGAGAAGCCAAAAGGCTAATAGATGTATTCGAGCCGGAGAAGATTCAGGGTGAGTTATCTTCTAGAGGCATTGAATGGATCTTCAACTGCCCAGCGAACCCAGCTGAAGGGGGAGCCTGGGAGAGGATGGTGCAGTGTGTCAAGAGAGTGCTACGCCACACAGTAAAGGAAGTGGCACCAAAGCAACACGTACTGGAGAGTTTCCTGATTGAGGCCGAGAACGTTGTGAATTCTCGCCCGCTTACCCACTTGCCGGTGTCTGTGGACCAAGAAGCCCCCCTAACACCGAACGATCTACTCAAAGGAGTGGCCAATCTGCCTGACACGCCCGCTATCCACGAGCAGCCGAACGAGAGATGCGTCACGAGGAAGCAGTGGCGCATGGCGCGGCTGTTACGAGACCGTTTTTGGAAGCGGTGGGTCTTAGAGTACCTGCCTACACTTGTGCGACGCGTGAAATGGTGTGCGCGCGTTGAGCCGATACGCCATGGTGATATGGTGTTTATATGCGACCCGGCCGTGCCACGCAGAGAGTGGCGAAGGGGCATAGTGGAGGAGCTCTACCCTGGACCAGATGGAGTGCCTCGACGCGCCAGCATCCGCGTGGCGGACAACAACCGAGTGCGACTGATGACTCGTCCCGTGGCTAAACTAGCCATACTGGATGTGAGTGAAGCAGGGCCTTCACGGGGGCGGGGATGTTGCGGGACGAATTAATTTATCGATTGTTTAGTATTAAGTATATTCTGAAAGTATGTATATTTGCCCTCCGAATGTACGGGCACACTGTATTTGGCTTGTTGCCGCCATTACTTAAATGTTAAGCTCATTATTGTCGTGAGTTCGAAGGCCGTAGGAGGAAAGACTGCGGTAAGATTCCGAGGGAATATATATCTAAGTTCTAACCTATGTAATCCGTTTAGAATAAAACACTTGCACTAGCACGTTTTGCATTACGCTGTCTCTAGTAACATCGGAGTAACATGGCCGGGGGCCAGGCGTAAACTTGCAGTGTTCAAATTGCAACTCCACCTTCATTTGGCACGCGACACCTACCTAAAGAGCTCTCTGGGGTGCTAAGGGCGATGTAAGTGAATGATGAATTTATACATATATATTCAAGCGAATTGATTAATGTAATATATTCATATATATATATATTACTCCTACATACCATTTTATTAGCGCATGAATGGTGGGGAGTCAAACTCTTAAATTAAGATATATATATAGTGGCATATTAACAAGAGCAGAATTTTGAACCACTGTTATCTATCAGCTGCATTGTATGATATAACCCAATGTATGAATAATCGTAATAATAGCATGCTTTCTGCAGCCAACTCAAATAATGTCAACAATAATTTATAAACAAAAACTGGCCAACTGAAAGCCACTAGCATAAATAAGCCTCAACTACTGTTCCTTTGCAAAACGTCACGTACTCCAATTATTATTTAGCTTTAAATATACCGTAAGCCAATTTTTCTTCTTCAGTCGTAATCCAAATATGTTGTTTGGTTAGTGGTGAAACGTAATAAATAAAAGTTTATGAGTGATCAGCTTAAGAGAGGCTTATCCATACAACTGGTGTCTTCTCTGATCAACAAGTGTAAGTATTACAACTAAATCAAAAATATATTTCAATTCCAAAATTAGCTATCCGCAAAGGAGCTTAACGTGTCTGGACAATTCAAGCAACACATAAATCCAATTCGGTCGTTGTAACACAAAGTGAATTTCGTGGCACATAACATAATGCCCAAACGATTAAAAATTTGAGCAACCAGAAGGTTTTTATGTTGTTGCAGTTCCAGCAATGAATAAATTAAACGACCAAAATTTAAACCAATTTCTTCAACAAATACGGAACGTGATGCATGTATGGAGGGATGCTTTAAATGGACTCTACTCACTTGGAACGATAACAACGGATTATATCAATGCATCATATCCGGAGATGCGCAGAAGGTACCCAGAACGCTGCAAATCAACAACTGGTCCCACCTCAGGGGAGCGGTAATATCCGAATACAAGACGCAAACACCCGTGGAAGGTTATATAATACTAATTATCAAGCTAATTCACGTACATTTTGAATTGAGGTAGAGGCTAAGATAATAGTTATATCTGATAAATTAGAATTAGAAGGGAATTTAGATAATTCCAGATTTTATAAAAACGCTATGAATAACACTATACAAAATTTAATACATAAAAACTACCAGATAGACACTTTATGTCACTGGTAAAATACGACATATCCACTGTTTCGAAATTAAAACAATTAAATGAAGAGCTTCTATGAGGAAAATTATGATGATAACAATAAAAAACAAGTAAGAGGCTCTAGTCGGGAGCTCCAGACTAGGGGATACCCTGAATCCTCTTCCTCCAACATCAAATGCATACATATTCTATTTTAGAAGCTATATATCAAGTTTGGCGACTCTAGCGCTTATTATTTACCAAAATTGCCCAAAAAACAGGATATCGATATATTTTTATCGATTGCTTGGAAACGGAGTAAGTTATCGATTATCGGAAATAAACTCGATCTGCGCGGGAACTAGGAGCACCTACATCTACAAATTTAAGTCTCTAGCTCTTATAGGTTCTCAGATCCTTGCGTTCATACATACGGACGGACGGACAGACAGACGGACATGGCTAGATCGATTCGGCTATTGATGCTGATAAAGAATATATATACTTTATGGGGTCGGATAGCATATCTTCTGCCTGTTACATACATTTCGATTTCGCACAAATACAATATACCCTTATACCCATTTTTAATGGGTTCAGGGTATAAAAACAAAATGCTAACAATGCTTTAAAGCTTACACGAAATACTAAACCTCAATTTATCCCAGATAACACAACTTACAATGATCAAAGCCACAATTGTGCTGTGAAAATTTTAAATACACACATGGCAACGCTTGGGTACCCTTACCAACGATAGCGAGCTAAAATGCAAGAATATCGCATCGACGTGGCAAACCCTTTCTTTATTTCATATTAGCCGTGCCTTCAAAGGGTAGAAATGCCTCAGCATTTGGGAAAAATTGAATTTTTGCGCTGTTTTGCTGGTCGGACAAATACACACACACACACACTTAAACGATCCCTAAACATAGAGAGAGCATTGAGAGCTGAGAGTAAGTGCGAGCGAGATAAAAGTTAACAGCGTTGCCAAACACTTTCCTGTAGAGTAAGCGGTTCAAAAATACATCATATGTATATCTTACTCCCTTACTCGCGATTTTGGACCAGATGCCTCCGATACATTTTGTGCCTACGTTCCGGCACTCATGTCCAGTCTATATGTTGTTTGGTTAGTGGTAATAGCTTAACTATACAATGCATAAACATACCAACAAGCCCCTTTATCGATATAACGATAAGCCGCATTGAGAGAAACCCGAGGGTGCCTGCGACCATTTTAGTGTGCCCAGACAGAGTAAGACTGCTGAGAGTGGCAGCCGAACGCCGGCCTCAAAAGCCGAACGTTCAGTATGAAGCCGCATCTCGCTCAGCGCCCAACGTCGCGGCTGATGATGCGTTTTCCTAATATATGTATGTATGCCATTTTTAAATCCTTACAGCCCAAAAACATATATGTGTATGCATGTGCCTCGCTCTCACTCATTGCTTCGCACAATTGCATCCATCTTTTTCTCCCTCCATAGCTTCCCACAAAACCCCGAGATCTACAAACGTTCATATGTACGTTTGTGTTGTGTGGATGTGCGCACAAGTAGATCGCGGCGTTTGTCGCGATCCAGAGGTTATTTCTTCAATTGTGTGCCTTTTGTGCCTGTGGTAGCAATTGGCACTCACATTTAAATGGTCTATCATGTATTTCTTCGTCCAGTCAGGCATGATGAGAAGAATTTGATCAAATATTATTTAATACACAATTAATTGACCTAAATAAAATATTTTTATTTATTTTCTGTTTACTGTAGGGATCTATTTTGCTTAAAATACAAAAATATCTAAGTCGTATTTCTGCAAGGGTAATTCATCGTCGGCTTGTCGCATAATTTAAGAAAAGACCAAAAATTGACACACACTCTTTCAAGTAAGCAGTTGTGTGAAATTATTAAAGGGTTTGGCCTGTTCATGTGCAAAATTGCTATTTTCCATGATTGTTGTAGGGGTAAGGGTACCTGATCGCTGGCATGTGTGCATGATAACTTTTTGGGTCGGCCAACCACGCACACTAACACACTTTTCTATATGGATGGAAGCATTAATGCGTTTGTATGCGTGTTGGTTGATTTTTGAAAAATTTGAAATTTTTAGCATTTGTGAATTTCGAGCGCTACACAGACACATATACACACTCACAAATGTGTGTGAATGAGCTGATGAAGGGTTTGTCGTGAGGCAGAGATATTTTTATCAATGGGTGCGTAAATTTGGGCGACTGGCACGGTCTTTGTTGTTTTTGGCATGCCAGCGGTGGGCTTGAATGAAACAGGTGGATCGCACTTATCGCTCGTTTGCACTTTGATATGGAAAAATTGCAAGTAATGTGCAAGGATGTGTGCACAAGTAGATTACGGCGTTGTCGCGTGCCTGAGGTTATTTCTTCAATTGCATGCCTTTTGTGCCTGTGGTAGCAATAGGCACACCATCTAATAGCCTCTGTCCACTGGTTTAAGAAATGTCACATTTTCAAATTCAACATATTGGTGTTCCACCGGTCGTCGGTAACATGTGAATGGCAAAAGTACCGTTCTTTTAAAAAACAGCTGATCGAGTTTCTTTTACTTACATACGCGCCGTAAAGTTCTTCTTTCAAAACTCAAAAATTGCGCTCTCTCCATTCGTCCACTGAACACATTTCTTACACATGTCAGAAAATGACATATTTTTGACAAATGTGTGAAATGCCCTGCGCGCTTCCCCATAAGAAAACACATTTCACACATCTCTCAAGAACGGGACATTTTTGAAAAATTTGTAAATTCGCCCCGAACATTTCTTGTTTTTTTGCGATGATAAATCGAGATTTCTATCGATGTTATGAAAAATGGTAAAGTATCGTAAGCATTAACAGCTGATATATCAACGAAGGCAAGCGGCAACTTTAAACAAGAAATTTAATAATAAAATAATTCCACAGCTTTTAGAATTTAAACATGGCGAAATATCGAAAAGAGTACCTAAAATGGAGTACTTACTGTGAGAGCGCAACTTTTGACTTTTGGAAGAACTTTACGGCACTTATGTAAATAAAAGAAATGCCATTCGCCATTCACATGTTACCGCCAACCGGTGGAACACCAATGTGTGAAATTTGAAAATGTGACGTTTCTTAAACCAGTGGAGAGAGGCTTTGAGTCGTATTTTTGCAAGGGTAATTCATCATCGCAGAATTTTGAAGAAAAGACAAGATATTAACGTACACTCTTTTCGGCATGGTGAATGAAACATGTGGATCAAACATGTCGCAAATGAATAAGCAAAAATCATTAAATTGTTTTCTTTTTCTATTAATTTCATACATTTCAAATTCAAAAAAAAAGAAGCTGTGCCAACTCAAGCATTCGATAATTATAATGACTAGACATCGATAGTTAGACATACTCATTGGCCAGCTCGAAACGTTGACGAGCATTCCACAGTTAATAAACTAACCTATTATTAGGCTCCGCTGCCTGAAATGGAACTCTTGCTAAATGGTAAAACTCCACCTTAAATAATTTGTTCGTTATTTCACCAGGTCGGAATAAAACGAAGAATATGCTTAACTAAAAAGTTCGACATGCTATTGAATCTTCTATCACGTGATGGATGCATATTGCGTCATAGGCTCCAAGAGACTGCCTGGA